TATTTTTTATGCTGCTCAAAAACAAAAAATATTGTGTTTAGGGGAAAAAAATTTTTTTTTTTTTTTTTTTTTAACCCAGTCATTTAAAAATAACACATTTTAGTGCTGTAACGACAATACCGTGATACCGAGAAACCGTGATATTTTTGCTTAAGGTTATCATACCGTCAAAATCTCATGGGCTATGATCAGCTCACTGTCTGCCGCTGGCCACTTGGTCGTTACTTTAAAGAACAAAAAATGCTCCAAACGTTTTTCTAAATTAACTTAATAAAAAAACGAAACAAAATATAATCACTTTGCCATTACGTACAAAACTGAACTAGCTGGAACAGTATAAACTGTTTTGGGAGAAGGAGAAAAAAAAGACAGGCTCGGGTCGACTCGGGCGGTAATTCTGTTAAGCTGTCGGACATGTGCCGGGCTATAGGGTCTCAGCATCTCGGACCAGGGCCGGCTAGGGCCTAAATTTGAGGCCCGTGCAGGGCTCTAACAAAAGTTAAGGACTGCAGCTTTAAGTTTATGGGGCTGTCACGTGATGAACGAACGACTCAAACCCGAAGACTTGTCAGATAAGAGGTGAGGTGAGCTAATCATACCAGGTAAACAATTAATTAATCTTTTCTGTTTCTTATACATTATAGTTGATATACATTAACGTGATACATTATAGTTTTGTATTGTTTGTAGTGTGATCAACGTTTGCGTAAGTAGTAGACGTGTTAGGGAAGTAACACGTAACATTTGAACGAGACTCAAAGGTCCGAGTCGGTAAAATGATCCGAACTTCCCATCGTCACTACAATAAACACCAAAGAAGAAGAAGAAGAAGAAGAAGAATATTCCGCTTTCCTACTCACTTCCGTTTTTTTGGTCACAGAAGTAATGCCAGCCCACCCCCCTCACAGCGGGAGAGGGGGGTTGAACCACACGTGGAAACGGATCTGTCCCGAGCAGAAAAACATTACTGAGAAGCTATCTCCTGCTGGAAGTGCTTAAAAGATCTGCTCCATATCAGCCCTGAATAATTCAAAGATATCCGACAATGGAAGATGGCAGGGAAACAGCAGCGATGAGACAGCAAAAAAGGAAGGATCGACAAATAGGTTGGCTAATTATTATTTAATATCACTTGTTTGGATATAACCTTTAGACCTAATAAGATTAAAACTGCTTTTAAAAAGATATACATTGGAAGCATGTCCATGCTCCCCATTTTTATCTTCTTCAGGGTCTGTTGTTATTATTGATATTGCAGCATGGGTGTGTCTTTATGCCCTCTGTGCCAAACTGGGCAACAACAGGTGCTCATACCCCAACATTAAAATCAGTCTTACAGCACTATACAGTCCAAGCACTTCTGTCTTCGTCAAAACAATAACCTGATATTTTGTTGTTTATTTTATTATTTCATTCATTATTTTTGTTGTTTGTTCAGGGTCTGAACTGATCTCGCAATATAATAAAGGTATAATGATAAAAAAAAAAACTACGTGTTATGGTGTGATATAGTATAGTGTAGTATTGTATGGTATAGTGTGTTATCGTAGTATCCTATAGGATGGTGTGAGGTGGTTTAGTAAAAGTAGTAAAAAATGCATCTTCGTTGCATATAAATGTCTAGACAACATTTGGAGCTACTTTATGTCATCTTTATGCAAAACTGAACATTATGTTGGGGAACACTAGGTCTTTATTTTGGAGTAATCAAAATATAACTTTGTTTATACTGTATTAAAGACAAACATAATGCTTAAATAGATCAACATTAAATCCCGTGTAAAAGCATGGTGTTTCTGATCATGTGGCTGGTGGTCAAAGATCTTAGCCTTAATGCAAATGTTACGAGGTCAGTGCAAAGCAGGGATGATTTAATCATTCTACAATTACTGTGATCATTGTCCTGCTCAATAATCATATCCAGCATTCAATCTTACTTTGCTCTGACTGTCGCAGCAGTTAATGTAATTTGCTCTGGATGGATCTGCTCAAGGAAATGTCTTATCCCTTATTTGGGCTTATGGGCTCGTAGACTAAGGGTTTTAGGCCACATATACAGTAGCCGCTTACAGTTACATTTCTCTATAGATCGGTGGTGTCACCGATACTGAAGGTAGGTAAGATTTAAAAGCATAGCAATAGCAGTTTTGTTTGTTAATTTATTATTATTTTTTTCCACAGAGAGAAAATTAGAAACCTAAATCGTAAATAATAGCATTTTCAACATAACTATTTCTTGAACACTCTTCATATCCCTTATACCTGCTTGAAACATAATCTTCTCTCTGCCATTTTATTGTTCTTTAATATACATCACTGTATTAACGTTTTTTGTTGTTGCAAGATTTGGCACTTAATTTTGCAGCTCAGTGTCCAGTGTCTCCTGAATCGAGTTGTTTGGAATAAAAGCGTCTGCTAAACGAATGAAGGGGAATGAAACGGTAACAAGGACCATATGCAACACCACTCCATTGCACTAGATGGCACAAGCATTTGTTTCCCATTGGAAGACACTTTTTTTTTTCTCATTGGGAGCCAAATGTGAGACACAAAGCACCTTCACTTTCCACCTGGAGGCGCAATGAGGCTCAGAATAGCAACCGCTTCACTGAGCTCTAACACTGAGCCACCTGAAAATCTCCTGAGATCTTTTTTTCGCGTTGTTGAAAACATTTGTACATGGAATCGATATATTGAGGATAGCAAATCATTTCCTAAATGAACACAGTATTCGAAAGGAAATCCATCCTTTCACTCTTTATAAAATGATTTTTAAACTGCCTTACCGCAGTAATCACAATGACTGTGATTGATCCATCCTGAAGAGAGACGAGAAAAGTTAGCAGATATGCAATAACAAACGCTGCCTTTGTGGTGTTTTAGCAGCGACCTGGACAATAATTACACCTGGATAATGTCACTGAAAACAGATCTAATAGTATTATTTTGTTAATGAACGAACCGCTGTTTTGAACATGCACTCATTCATATTTCCAGTAGTCCTTCACTGCAGAACACAAGATCCAGGGGGCGTGGTTGGATCCACATCCAGGGGGTGGAAATTAGTAGGTTTAGGGGTGGAGATGGATGGGTTTAATATTTGTGGGACCGGTTGGTGGCGGTGGTTTCGATTCTCTGAGCCGGCTCTTTCGGCTCCCAAACGGCTCTTGATTTAGTACCACTTCTGACTTTTATTATTCAGCCAAATATAGCTAATTAGCGATGTTTTAGAATTACACGTATACCACTTAAATTATTCAATGTAATTATACTAAACCATATAATTTACAGAATATCATAACATTACGCCTGCTTGATATAAAAACCTTGAACTATGTAAAACCATCACTATAACACTATTACACATCCTGCTCAATATGATATTTACCGTACAAATTCTACATTCTGCTTATGTTGTCTAGGTATATTATTAAAATGCATCCAAGTGCTACTTTGTTTGCGACTTATGCATCTTGTATTTTGACCCAAAATTAAGGATGATATTTTCCACACACAACTAACTAAATAAAATAATTAATTAAAAGTTAAAAAATGATTACATAAAATAAATCGTCTCTCAGGCGGGAACCGGCTCTCATCGTTCACTTAAAAGAGCCGAGTCGACTCATATAGTCACCTACTTTGTAGAGTCATATGTAGTTTCCACCAGAAATCTACCAGAAATGTTAAACACAATTATTTAAGTTGCAATAATGCGAACTTATGGCTTCAGCAAAAGCATGCGCCATTGATTAACAACCGTTAAATGATTTACAGGTCTGTCTTTAAAGGTTTATAAGTTGTTGTTACAATCGATTCCGCTTTCCTACCAATCAGTTAGGTTGCCAACCGCCAATAAACACCAAAGAAGAGGAAGAAGAAAAAAAGATTCCGCTTTCCTACCCACTTCCGTTTTTTTGGTCACAGACAAAGAAATGCCCGCCCGGGGAGAACATGAATATGGCAAGTGTGAGGAGGGTGTAGAGATTAAATGCTGTAATTGTGGGGGAGGACATAGCGCAGCATATGCAGGATGTCCTGTACAACAAGAAGCTCGTGAAGTACAAAAAATAAAAACTGCAAAATTTAACATGCAGAAGCTACCCCTAAGGTAAAAGCCAAAGGTATAGTTGAAACAAAGAGAACTAATGTGCAAGGAATCAGGATGGAATCCTAAAGGAGTAAATCCTGAGAGGAATTAATCAGATCTACATACTATGATGAATAAAATTGACTTTGTGGCATTCATTTGTGCGGTGGTAAATGGCACTTCACAAGTGGAAAGGAAATCGGACAAGTTAAAGATTATCGTAGAATGTGCTAACAAATTTCTCAAGTTAGCAGGAGTTACAGCGGAGGAGGTCCGTGGGATTTTGAAAGCCAAGGAAGGAACTGCTGCTTTGGATACGACTCGGAGTAATAATACAGTTGTATAATGTCTTTCCTATACTACTACTGGAATGCCAGGAGCTTAATAGCAAATGAGCAAGAATTTAAAAAACATATCACAGAAATGGAAAAGGCACCAGACATCATGTGTATTCAGGAGACATGGTTAAATAGCTCCTTGGATTTTAAGATCAATGGATATGTAGTAGAGAGGAAAGATAGAGAAACTGGAAGAGGTGGAGGGTGTGCAACATTTATTAAAGAAGGCATAGCATATAAGAGAATATACAAACGTAATAATGTAGCATGTGTAAGTATAGAAGTAATGGGAATACATGAAGAAATTAGAATTACACATTTTTATAATCACAATCAAATAAATAAGCAATACTGTATTAGAAGAAGTGATGAGGGTGATACACGGGGTAAAATTATTATATGTGGGGATTTTAATGCACATAATGGTTTATGGGGTAGTAAAAATACAGACAATAATGGGATAGTTATAGAAGAATTTATAGAAGAGCACTTGCTTGTATGTTTGAATGATGGGAAACCAACAAGAATGGATATAATTAAAGGTGGCATGTCATTTTTAGATCTCACAATAACATCATCTGCCTTAGCCGGTAAGTGTACATGAAGATAATGTGGGCAGTGAAATAACATCATCTGCCTTAGCCGGTAAGTGTACATGAAGATAATGTGGGCAGTGATCATTGGCCTGTAGTTTGTGAGATTCAGAGTGCAGTCCAAAGGCAAAACTTTAATCAGTGTGCAAGATGGGGATTTAAGCAGGCAAAATGGAAGGAATTTTATGTGTTGTGTGAAGAAAATTTCAAAAATATGAAGTTGGAAGGGAATATTGAGGAGAAATATAATAAGGTAGTAGGAGAAATCATTTCTGCAGCAAATCAATCTATACCGTTAATAAGAGGTAATGGAAAGAAAAAGAAAAGTGTACCGTGGTGGTCTGAAGAGTGCACAGTGGCAATTAGAGAGAGGAATAAGGCATTCCAGATTTTAAAAAGGTTAATAATTCAGGATACAGTTGTAGAATATCAGAAGAAAAGGGCAGCTGCAAGAAGGGTAATTAAAAGTGCAAAGAGAAAGGCTTGGCAGGAATTCTGTAACACAATTGGGAGAGAGACTGGAATGCATGTGGTATGGAGAATGATTAGGAAAATGAATGGTATTAATAATTATAAACAGATCCCTGTAATTGAAGAGGAAGGGAAAATAGCCAGAACGAATAAAGAAAAGACAGAAGTCTTAGCCAAAACCTTTGCTAAAGTTCATAGTATTGAAAACCTGAATAAGTTCTTAAAAAGAAGACAAGAGTTAAGTAAAATATATGAGAATGTTCGTATGAAAAAACAAGGAGTTGATAGTAATATGGATGAGGATTTTAATTCTTTTGAGTTAAAAATAGCCATTAACAATTCAAAGAATACAACGCCAGGGAGAGACATGATCAGTTACAGTATGTTTTTTAATGTAATGTAACTTACCAGAAGTAGCCGTTAAAGCATTATTGGATTTATATAATCATGGAATGAAGGAACCTTACCCAAAGATTGGAAAAGTGCAATAGTGATACCAGTAGTGAAACCAGGTAAAGATGCATCAAAATCTAATAGTTATAGGCCAATTGCTCTTACATCTACATTATGCAAGGTAATGGAGAAAACGATAGTAAGAAGGTTGAATTATTTTTTGGAGAAAATATAAATATCATCAGCTCAGAGTGGTTTTAGGAAGAAGAGATCTACAATGGATGCTCTGATATTATTGAAAATTATGTTAAAAAAGCTCTAATGATGAAAGAATTTCTTGTTGCTGTTTTCTTTCACATTGAAAAGGCATATGACACTTTATGGAGGGAGGGACTGTTAATTAAGTTAAATAAAATCGGAATAGGGGGGAGAATGTATAATTGGATATTCGATTTTTGTTTGAGTGTACATTCCAGGTAAGAATAGGTGAAGAAATGTCAGCATCGTATGATATCCTGAATGGGACTCCACAAGGAAGTGTAATCAGTCCAATTTTATTTAATGCAATGATTAATGATATAATTGAAAGAGTTAAACCAAGCACTGGGAAGGCATTATATGCAGATGATGGTGCAGTATGGAAAAGAGGTAGGAATTTAGGAAATGTAGTTAAAGGAATACAAGAATCAAT